GTCCTCTCATGACTCGGTTCTGTTCACGTTCTTCTCTTTCATGTGATCAGCAGGGTATTCAGAGCCCTCTCGTTTGGTGTTTATCTGTTAAAAGTCAGTTATTTGATGCTTGTATTTCCATATCTCTGAGGGAATTAAAATTCTCTTTTTGTTTTATCCTCTTTTGAACTTTTAAAGTGTCGGCAGAGTCCTAACATGGTGAAGTGTGTAATTTTTCTAATGCCACTGGGGTGCCACCAAATAGAAATAGGCAGTAGCATACTGAATAGTAAGCTAGATTTCCTTTTCGAACATTGCCAGTGTTTTCAAGCTGGTATCATAAACTTTCCTCCGTCTGCTATTGGTCAACCAACAGATAGTCCCGCCTCCAAATTCACGCCATTTATTGAGGTACAATGTTAGATGTTTTATACAGCGCAACAATGTGTGCGCACCCGTTACATACCAATGAGAGGCTTAATGTATGCATTTTAATATTTAAATAAGATCAGAAAAATATTTTAAAATCCTAAACAAAATCATCAAAAATAATAATTTGTCATTTTCCATACTTGGATGTAACTGGAACAATACTATACATACAATATAAGAAAATATATTACACATTTTTAATGATTAATCATTTTTAATTGTAATCATTTTATTTTTTTCTCAGGGCAGTTGAGGGCCATGAATAGAGATTCACAGGTAAATGTTCTCTTGGTAATAAGATGTTTGCAGTCATTTTTGCTTGGCAGATGGGTCCATTTGGTTTTCATGTTAGCATATTAGTTGTTAAATGAAAGTGCTAAGTACATATTAATCTTATATGATGCACGTATATGCAGTTATTGGCCTGTAATTCGTGTCTGCTCACTTGTAGATGTGCCATATTACTTTCTTGTTTGTGTTTCACATCACATTCACATTCATCCTCTTCCTGTGATATGAGGCTTCTCGTTGAGATCACACTCACAAGTAAACAAGTTTTAGCACACACTTACAGGCAGGCAGTACATTTAGTAAAAATAACCTGACAGATTGAATATTTCCTGTGAATATGATGCTAATGTGTATTTGACTGATGATCACGGTCTTTTTAACCCTGATAGTGACAGATTACGATCTGCAAAGAATATCATTAAAACTAATGAAATGTGTTTTCCTCAGCCACACAGCTCTCTTTCACGATCCCCAAGTGCAAGTAAGTGCGCCGTTATGTGTTTTATTTACTATGATCTGGAAAAAGATTTTTCTGTGTGAATTTACACATTATTTATCAGTATCATTGATTTTTAATAAAATAAAAAGAACGTGTTTAAATGATTCATTCCACAAAAGATAAATTATTAAATGCTTATGCTAAATGGGGGTTATTTTACTATAATTATGATTTATAAACCATTAACTGAGAGTTTACATGGACTATTTGTACTTTAAAAAAAGGATTGCTCACACCCCAGGCATTTTCAAATGTTCTAGTGAAGACAAAAAGAATATTAAAAAAAAGTTTCATAGCTCATTTCATTTCATTATATTTTGTTATTATAAGCTGTTTATTATTATATTTATGTTTTTCTGCAATTTCTTGCCTAAAATGCATTATTTTTTAATTTTAATATATTTTTGCAAAATGCAAGACAAGCTCCATAAATATGAAAGTCTAACCTAGAGTTATATAATTGTGCTCAAAAACTTAAAAAAGAAATCTATCATGAATAAAACTGTTAACAGAAATCTCACCTCGACTCCTATGGTTGAAAGCCTTATAGGTTTATGTAAATTTTAACCCATAGAGCTGATGATGAGTGACTTTATATTATGTCCATAACCCACTTATGAGTGCACTCAAATACAGTCCATAAAGAAAAACGTGTGTTGTTAGTGATGTAGGAGTCGCTTCAGTTCCCCGGAGGCTCCTTATCGACCAAATGAGTGTGAAACACTATCTAGCAGTAAACAGGAAGATCAGTGCTGGTTTCACTCTCATACTCAGAGTTTGGTTTTTAAGTTGTTAAACGCTGTTAAACATGTTTTCACAGCTGAGAGCCAATCTTTTACAGATGATGATTATGAATATGTGTCTAGCGTTGTCAAGGACACCAGCAGCCCATTTGCCCGGGGCGGCCTGGGTGAGTAACGCCATATGCACACTAAATCTTAATTCTGTACACAACAAGTGTACTGAGCAGATAAACATTTAGGTTTGGATGGGTTTTTGACGAGACTTTGGACAAAACTGCATGCTATCACACTTTCTAGTTTGTCTAAAAGTTGAAAGGCTGCCTAAATCTTTCGGCGCACATGTGAATTGCTAACTTGTCATTTAGTAAATAAAAAGAAATAAACTGCTGCCTTACAAGAGAGAATTTTTTTTTAGACCACACACACTTACAACCACAAAGAAGTGGCAGCTGTGTGGTTTCTAGGCCTCAACAGTGTCTACTATTGCTCATATTTAGGGTTAGAGGTTTAAACAGACCTCTAATCTTCAGTATTCGAGCATTTGTTTGTCTTTTCAAACCTGCATGGCTTTCTTTGTTCTGTGGAACAAAAATTATGCCACTTTGAAACGTAATTTTTTTTTAGTCGCAATATCTAAATCTTTGTTCCATAGAATAAAGAAAGTCTTTATTTTGAATCATGTGAGGATGAGTTAATAATTACAGAATGTGTATTTTTGAATAATAACACCTGGCAACACACAAAAAACACTCAGAACATCATTGCAATCACATAGAAATGCCAGGTTCTGAAGAATGCAACATCATTCTTGAAAAATTTTGTATAAAAAAGGCGGACATGTACACTACCGTTCAAAAGTTTGGGATCAGTAAGATTTTTTATATTTTTTTTACCCAAGTTTCTTGTGCTCATCAAATACAGAAAAAAACCCTGTTATTTTGTGAAATATTATTGCAATTTAAAATAACAGTGTCTATTTTTTTATATACTTTAAAATATAATTTATTCCTGTGATGCAAAGCTGAATTTTCAGCATCATTACTCCAGTCTTCAGTGTCTCATGATCCTTCAGAAATCATTCTAATATGCTGATTTATTATCAGTGCTGGAAACTGTTGTGCTGCTTCATGTTTTTTGGAACCTTGGAACCTCCTCTTTAGATTCTTTTATGAATATAAAATAAAAAGAACGCATTTATGTATTACAATATACACTACCGTTCAAAAGTTTGGAGTGAGTACATTTTTTTTTTCTTTCTTTTTTTGAAAGTAATGAATACGAAAAAAACCTGTTATTTTGTGAAATATTATTGCAATTTAAAATAACAGTGTCTATTTTTTTTATATACTTTAAAATATAATTTATTCCTGTGATGCAAAGCTGAATTTTCAGCATCATTACTCCAGTCTTCAGTGTCTCATGATCCTTCAGAAATCATTCTAATATGCTGATTTATTATCAGTGCTGGAAACTGTTGTGCTGCTTCATGTTTTTTGGAACCTTGGAACCTCCTCTTTGGATTCTTTTATGAATATAAAATAAAAAGAACGCATTTATGTATTACAATATACACTACCGTTCAAAAGTTTGGAGTGAGTACATTTTTTTTTTCTTTCTTTTTTTGAAAGTAATGAATACTTTTATTCAGCAAGGATGTGTTAAATGGATAAAAAGTGATAGTAAAGACTCTAGTCTGTAGTAAAGATTTTAATTTGAAATAAATGCTGTTCTTTTTAACATTTTATTCATAAAAGAATCCAGAGAAAAGTATCACAGTTTCCAAAAAAAAAAAAAACATGAAGCAGCACAACTGTTTCCAGCACTGATGTTTTTTGGAACCTTGGAACCTCCTCTTTAGATTCTTTTATGAATATAAAATAAAAAGAACGCATTTATGTATTACAATATACACTACCGTTCAAAAGTTTGGAGTGAGTACATTTTTTTTTTTCTTTCTTTTTTTGAAAGTAATGAATACTTTTATTCAGCAAGGATGTGTTAAATGGATAAAAAGTGATAGTAAAGACTCTAGTCTGTAGTAAAGATTTTAATTTGAAATAAATGCTGTTCTTTTTAACATTTTATTCATAAAAGAATCCAGAGAAAAGTATCACAGTTTCCAAAAAAAAAAAAAACATGAAGCAGCACAACTGTTTCCAGCACTGATAATAAATCAGCATATTAGAATGATTTCTGAAGGATCATGTGACACTGAAGACTGGAGTAATGATGCTGAAAATTCACAACAATAAATTATATTTTAAAGTATATTAAAACAGAAAACCAATATTAGAAATTGAAATAATATCTCACAATATTACAGTTTTTTTTCTGTATTTTTGATCAAATAAATACAGCCTTGATGAGCACAAGCACTCGTTTATGCAATCCTGATCCATATTAATTCATTTTGACCTGTGCTCTGTTATCTTGCGTTTCTCAATGCGCCTGGTGATTTTAAACATTGTCTGTGTTTGTCTTCAGGTTTCAACTGTCGCATAAAGAAACCCAAAGGCCCTCGAGATCCACCAGCCGAATGGAGTCGTGCAGAAAGATGAAACTACAGCAGGTTTTATAAAAACTGAACTCAACCTAGTGTAGCCCGTTTCAGTAGATGCACAGCTGTTTTTACACTGGGTAATAAGCATTATTTATTTCCTTTACTGGTAGTTTTGTTTGTATTACTGTTTTAAATACTGAAGAAATGTCTGATAATGTACAGTGTAGTGTAGTTAATTGGTGTATTTGTGTGGCAAAATAGAAATTGCCAGTAATATTGAAAATTTTTCAGTGCACGCTGATGCAATAATGCATGTGATTTAAAGGGGTCGTTTAATGTTTTTGTAATTACGCCAATTTCAATTAATAGATGTTGTTTACCGTGTAAATGTGAGTTGTGATCTGTTCTAATACATTCATCTGACACCAGTAAGTTGCTGTTTAGTTTCAGTACATGTTTATTTTGGACTTTTCAATGTTTTTATACTACATTAAAATGTTTTATTTCAAACCATCAGGGAAAGTATGATTTCTCATGATAGGAGCCCTTGCTTTAACTCAAAATCTGGAGTGTGGTTGTTGTGATATGATGTGTTTGTCGATAGAGGGCAGTGTTGAGGTGTGGTTTCTCTTTGTGTTGCTCCTCAGAAAGACAGGTCACTCGGGTCAGGTCATTTACAGACAACATAACATGTGCATAATTATTAATGCCGCATCTCATCTATGAATTTGGCTTTTTGATATTTAACCATAAGAACATTTTATTACATGACTTTGTGTGCTGTTTAAGCGTTCGGTTCTAAATCCAGTGTGGACTATCTGTTCAATCTTAGCGCTCATTCCGGTGATAAAACCATAAGACTTGCCCTCTAAACTCCAGTGCGATTTTATTTCCCTCCTGAAAATCAATGGAATCTTAAGTTGCGCTTAAAGCAGGGAGCACGTTTTCCCAGATGCTCGGCCTGTTGGCAGCGCTCCTGGATGCGTGTTTTTGATGATGAATCATTCTTGCAGAATGGTATTACAGCAATATCATGCAGAAATGCTGTGAGATGCTCTCTGCTGCTCTTTACACCATATCAAACATGCATCGCCTGTTTAAGACTGACTGCTTTAATGTGGCTGAGGCATAAAGACTTGAAGTCTCATGATGATAGAAGGTCTGATGACTTCTTGTAAAAACGGAAAGTTCTGGTCCTGGATGATGATTGGTCAACATAGCATTCCAGCTCTGCTAAAATATGTGATGTAGGTTGAATTTGTATGAAATTTGTAACAACTTTAAAGGGTGTGATGGGAAGGAGATGCTACTTGGAAAGTCTTTTTTGTAAAAAAAAAATTTCACAACAGTTATGAATATAAGCATGAATTTTGTGTAACTTAGTTTAATATATCATAATATTTTCAATAGTAATCATATAATCATATATTAATAATAGTAGTAATGTTTCTTTTTTGTTTGTTTATATATATACAGTATATATACACACACACACGCACACACTACCAGTCAAAAGTTTTTGAACAGTAAGATTTTTTAGTTTTTTTTAAAGAAGTCTCTTCTGCTCACCAAGCCTGCATTTATTTGATCCAAAGAACAGCAAAAACGGTAACATTTTAAAATATTTTTACAATTTAAAATAACTGTTTTTATATATACATATATATAATACACACACACACACACATATATATATATATATATAGAATTGTTGACATTTTTGCAGATTTATTAAAAAAGAAAACCTGAAATATCACATGGTCCTAAGTATTCAGACCCTTTGCTCAGTATTTA